TGCGAGCATGCGCATCTACAAGAACAACTTTGAACACGCCCCGAAGCCCACGCCCATCCCGACTACGGACCACATCAAGGTCAATGGCGAGGGCAAGGACAGCCCAACGTTCACGGTGGCCCTGAACCCGAGCTTGAAGGTGGAGACGACCGAAGCGGACAGCTTGGGCAGCTCGTGGGCAGCGGCAGATGACATTCGGCAGTAGGCACGCCAGCACCTGCGCTTACGACGACACTTGCAGAGCCTTCGCCAGCGCCTACACCAGCCTACGACGGCACCGACTGCGCCTACGCCAGCGCACACGCCATCGCCTACACCAACACCTTCAGCGCCGACGCCAGCGCCTACGCCAACGACATTTGTTGCGGGCCACGGCCGCGCTCGTTTCGCCTCGAGCGGGGCGCCCGAGACAGGTAAGCGTTCTTGGCTTCACGGCCGCTGAGAAAAACTTCCTGCACGATTCAAATGGCTTACGCTACGCGTGCCCGCCGACACAGCTACATCCTGGTGCGACCGAATGCTATGCTATGTTCGGCCCCGCGACTATGCTATGGAATGCTATGCTCAGCTTCCCGACGCTCTGCTACGCTATGCCACGTTGGGGGCGAGGGGCGGTCGGGGCCTGGCGTCGCTGACGTCGTGAAGTCCAGCCGCTGGGCACTCCAGTCGCTGACGTTGTGAAGCCCAGCCGTGGCGAGAGGAACACCACGGCCGCTGACGTGGGGAATCCAGCCGCGGCGATCGGAATCCAGTCGCGAAGAGGGAATCCAGCCGTGGCGATGGGGGCCCAGACACAGCGCGTTAGGATCTGGTCAAAATGAGACCCCACACGCGCCACGAGTTTCAAGCGGCAGTTTCGGGCCTTTCAGGAGCCCCGCTGTGAGCGCCTATGTCCTTTGGTCACGGCGCGGACCCATGCATGCAGCATCGGGCCTCTCACGCAGCTATGCGCGAGCAGATCCTCGCGCCCACGGGTGAGAACATTGAGGCCCGCGACAAGGACCCCCGCAACCCGTACGACGTCGACGAGGACCAGAGCATGAGCGGCGACGAGCACGGCCCCGACTCCGACGGGGACAACGACGACTGCAAGGGCGGCGGCGACGACACGGGCGGGGGCCATATGGCAGTGGACGGCGAGCCTGGGGGGTCTTCCATGGCGGACGACTCGGAAGTCCACGACGTCGGCGCCCCCGACGACGGCGACGGCCCAGACTCGCCAAAGGTCAGCGGCTCGGTCGGCGTCAAATTCTGCGTGCGATGCAGGGTCTACGAGGCTTTCGAAGGCTTCACAGATGAAAGCTGCCCTCATAAGTTTGGGGTGCCCTGCCAGTTCGTGACGCAGAAAATCGGCGACGAGAAGGAGTTCGCCATCACCCTGTTCGGCGGCGACGCCAAGGACGAGAAGCAGAAGGGCGACGACAACGACGAGAAGTTCGGCATCAGCCTGATCGGCGGCGACGCCGAGGGCGAGAAGGACAGCCTCGTGACAGACGACGGGGACGGCGCGCAGGTCCTGAAGACCGACGACGGCGACACGCAGGCCCAGAATAGCGACGACGACGCCGCGCAGGCCAAGAAGAGCGACGACGACGCAGCGCAGGCCCAGACAAGCGACGACGGCGTCGTGCAGGACCCGAACATCGACGACGACGCCGCGCAGGGCCAGAAGATCGACGACGACGCCGTGCAGGACCAGGAGGTCACGCAGTCAATGTGCGGGGTCAAGGTGACGCTGATCCCGCCGACGCCCGTGCAGGGCGAGCTCGCGCCCTGCACCCCTCCGGACGAGTCGGCGCAGGTCGAGGAGATCGACGAGGAGATGACGCAGCCCGCGACGGACCAGGATAAGTGGAAGGATGGTGCAACGGTGCATGTGCTCGACGCGGGCAACGAGCGGCGGGTCTGGACGGGCACGCCGCCGACTCCGCCCGCGGGGTCGCGCCTGGCCGACGCGGACGGGGCGGACGTCTTCGTCGCGGCCGACACGGACGAGGACGGCGAGATCTCCAAGGTGACGGCGGTCGAGCTCGACGCGAACGGCAGCGAGCTCGACGAGAACGGCTGACCGAAGGGCATCGACAAGGACACTTGGCGTTGAAACGCATCGAAGGCCTCATCGATGTGGCATCGATGAGGCCTTCGATGATTTATTGATCGCGTCTTCGATGCGTCATCGATGAGTCATCGATGACGCCATCGATGACTCATCGATGACGCCGTCGGTTGCGCCTGAGACATCCTCAACATCTGGCGGCGGAGGGGCCAGCGTGCTCGCTCGAGACATCCTCAACATCTGGTGGTGGTCGATCCTGGGCGCGCGGGGTCGTCCGTCGGTCGATCGTCGTCGTCCTCGCTCGTCGTCGCCATCATCGTCTTCGTCATTCGTCGTTGGAGGAGGCTGCGTCGACAGCGATGGCATCCGACTCAGTGGCCCCCTCAGGCGACGACGACGACGACGACGTCGATCGATAGGACGAGGCTCGGGGTGGCAATCGGTCGTCGTTCGGTCGTCGTCGGTCGCCATCGCCGCCGCCGCCGCCGTCGTCGTCGCGGCACTGGGGGTGATTGAGGCGGGACAGGAGAGGGAGGGTGGCGGGAGGCGGGGCCGCGGGCGGGCCTCCGGACGTGGGCGTCGATGTCGTCGAACCTGGGCGCGCGGGGTCGTCGTCGTTCGATCGATCGATCGGTCGACTGTCGTCGTCGTCGATCGCCGTCGGTCGTCGTCGGTCGTCGTCGTCGTCGTCGTCGTCGTCGGGCGACGTCGCCCTCGCTCGTCGTCGTCATCATCGTCGTCGTCGCCCGTGGTCGGAGGAGTCTCCTTCGGAAACAATGGCATCGCACGTGCACAGTTTGTTCTTTAACCCGCGGAAGAAATACCCAACCTGGGCGACTTATTAGGGCTCCCCTAGGGCTCAGCGGGCCCGAACTGTTCGACGAATACTCCGACCTCGACGGGGATCGTCACCGTCGGTGTCGTCGCCGTTCGTCGATCGTCATTCGTCGTCTGTCGTCTGTCGTCTGTCGTCTGTCGTCGTCGATCGTCGGTCGTCGTCGTCGTCGGTCGTCCGTCGTCGTCGTCGTCGACGTTGTCGTCGTCGCCCCGCCGCCGCCGCCGTCGTCGTCGCGGCGGTCGTCGGCGTTCGTTGTCGCCGAGGATCTCGAGCTCCTCATCTGAGAGCGGCGCCGAGGCCGCGAGAGACGCTCGGCGGCCGCGAGCGGGGAGATTCGAATCTCCTCATTCCCCTCGTCGTCGCCCGTCGTCGTCGTCGTCGGTCGTCGGTCGTCGTCTGTCGGCTGTCGTCGTCGGTCGTCGTCGGTAGTCGGTCGTCGGTCGTCGGTCGTCGTCGTCGTCTCGTCGTCGTCTCGTCGTCTTCGTCGTCCTCCTCCGGGGGGGGCGGAGGAGCGGAGGATGTCGAGTGCGATGCGTGGTGTGTGCGTGGTGTGTGCGTGTGTGTGCGCGCAGTGTGCACTGAAGGAGGAGTTGGCGGACCCCCCTCGTCGTCGTCGTCGTCGTCGTCGTCGTCGTCGTCGTCGTCGTCCTCGTCGTCGTCCCCCCCTTCCTCCTGCCCCTCATCCTCTCCCCTCCCCTTCCCTTCCGCCTCTTCCCCCTTGTTTTTTTTTTGTTTGTTTTTCTCGTCTTTTTTGCGTTTACTTTTAAGTTTCACTAGAGCCCGCCCAGTGGCGGGCGCGCACTGGTTTCACCGTCGACTCGCCCAGTGGCGGTCGACAGGAGCACGTCGAGGCGCCGCCCAAGATGGGCGGCGGTCCGTGCTACCAGTCATTGCGACTGTGTTTGAGTCGGCGTAGTGCGCCCTCGGGCGCTGCTAGAGTGTTGCCGCGTTGCTAAGTACGCCTTGACTTTTGAAAAATCCTGCCTCGATCCTCCCTCTCCCTCTCCCCCTTCTCCTCCTTCTCCTCCTCCTCCCCCTCCCCTCCTCCTCCCCTCCTCCTCCCCTCCTCCTCCTCCTCCTCCTCCTCCTTCTCCTCCTCTTTCTCCGCCTTCTCCTTCTCCTCCTCCTCCTCCTCCTCCTCCTCCTCCTCCTCCCCCGCGCGCGGGGCGGGGGCGGCGCGCCTTGAGGCGTGGTCGCCGTCGTCGACGCGGCGCCCGCGGGGGGGCCATGGCCGAATTCCCCACCCCCGCCCCATGTTGCATTGCATTGCGTTGTTTGTCATTGTGTTTGTGTTGTGTTTGCGTTGCGTTGCGTTTGCGTTGCTTTGCGATCGTTGTTGTATGTAAGACTGTGTGGAAAGTATATGGTATGTTCTCTGATATAGGACCCACGTCTTATAATAACACTCAAGTGTTATAGTAGCACTTGGCCAAGTGTTAAGTGTTATAATAGCACTTCAAGTGCTATAATAGCACTTGTAGCGTTCAACAAGATCTCGCCGCTTAATTTAGCAAGTGAGGTACCTGTGGGAAGTGCAAGCAGCAGGAGGAGTTACTAAGGAATTGCATCTCCGTAGCGCCGAAGGCGACGCAGGCCGAACGGGAGGAGTACGAGGAGCACGTGCGGGACGACGCGAGGCGGTTCCGAAACAAGTTCAAGCCCGTGCACGAGGCGCGCGCCCGGGGGGATGACGCGTGGCGCTCCGAGAGGGCTGCGAAGTTGGAGCGCTGGTGCCGCGAGGGAGCCTGGGTGCGGCGCGGGCATTGCAAGCGCATGGAGAAGCGGCCCCTGCGACCTGTTGACATACAGGGTCAGCCGCGCGCGTGGACTGTGCAAAGATGCAAGCATTGCAAATCCAATGTGGGGTGCCCGACGGTGTCCCTACAGGACATTCCCAAGGTTTTCCGAGAGTTACCGGCTGACGTGTTTTGGGCGCTGCGGCCGCTCGAGCCGTTCACGGGGCAATACGTTCGCGCTCAGCACGGAAACAGAGTTCACACTGATATGATACGCTTCTGGTGGCGACCCAGCTCTGTGACGGATCGGATAGCGCAGTTGAAGCACCGGGAGCAGAGGGGGCGCGCTCGGGAGGCGTACGAGTAGTTGATGTCGTCGGAGAGGTCATCCTACAAGAAATGGGTAGAGTTGCGCGAAGCCTTCCGGCGGAAGCACAAGGGCGTCCTCACGGGGGCGGCGGAAGACATGCGCTTGCAGCTACCTCGCAGGGCCATGGAGGAGGAGGGCCTGGAGTGCGCCGTTTGGCCGCACCTGTACCCGCGCACGAACATGTGCGAGACGCACGTGCGCCTGTCAGACGTGCGGAGGCAGGAGAAACAGAAGCGGCGGAGACAGGGCAGTTCCTCGGAATCTAGTGACAGCGGATCCAACGCAGACGAGCAGAGCACCGACGGCGAGGCCGCTGGACCTCGTGACCCAGGTGACTTTGCCAAGAAGCAGAGGAACTCGGCGAAGGCGTCATTCTTGGCAAAGGTGTTGGGGCCAGTCATTGGCTACGGATCGGACACGGACCTCGTCCAGTTTGTGTACGACCTGTGGTTGTGGTCGTCACTGGGGAGCAAGCGCAACGCTCTCGCAGGTCAGATGCCAATGAGACTGGCGGCGGGAGGGCATAGTTTTACACCGGCGTACTGCAAGCTGCGGCACGACGCCCTGATAGACGCGGTCAAGCAGCTCGGTTTGCCGTCGCTGTTCATCGCGGTGTCGCCCTATGAATGGTCCTTCCCGTACGCCCGGTGGGTGGAGGACGAGATGAGGAAGGAGCTGCGATCGAAGACCCACCTGCCCGTTGCGGAGACGCTGCGCATTGCGCACGTGCTGGGGCAAACCGTTGAGGGGTTCTTGACTGGCGCGAACAATGCGAAGAAGAAGAGCAACAAAAATAATAAGAAAGGCTGGGAGAAACACGTGTTCGGCGCGAGCGACGGAAGCGGCAAGAACACGGTGCGGGTTCACTTCGCTAGGGCAGAGTTCCAGGACGGGAAGCGCAAGCGTTACGTTGGGGAGCACGAGGCGGCCAGCCAGTTCTATCACGGGCGCGGGACGGTGCACGTGCATCTTCTCGTCTGGCTCGAAAACGAAGCCTCGATTGGTCTGGAGGAGGCCATCGCTGCGACGTCCCCGATTGACAATCCGGAGCTCAAGTCCTTGGTGGAAGGCTCCCAGAGGTCGCACACGGGAAGTGGATGGCCTGTGCGCGAGGCACCTTCAATGTTCGACGAGGATGCGCGGGCGCTGCGCTTGCATCGTACGAAGGCGGACCACATGAAACGCAACAAGAAGGGCGAGCTGGAGGGCGTCCGAGCATACATCAAGGACGTTCTGAGCGCCCTGTATTGCCACGTGGACGTCTTGGGGGCGGACGACAAGGCGGGCATGTTGCTTAGGTACGTGACGCCGTACGTCCCCAAGTTCTCCGATTCGTTCTGTGATGAGTGGCTCGCGGACCAGGCCAGCGACTACTCCATTGCGAGGAGAGTGCTCACGGACTACCATCCGCTGGAGCCGGAGATGGTTTTGCAGCTCGCGACGCAATGGTTTCCTCAGACATTCTCGAGTGGGTCCTTGCGGAACTTCGTGGTCCCTGTGCCGTGGGAAAAAGGCGGAGCTGCCTGGCATAGTCCGGGAGTACATGTCCTCGACGTGGCGCGGGAGGCAAATGTCTCTCATGGAGTACCTGAGGAAGGCGAACGCGGACGGCAACATCCAGCAGTGGATACGTCGGGAGCACAAGAAGCACTTGGAGAAGGCGAACGAGGGATCCGCAGAGCGAGTGGACGACCTAGAGGAGTTCGCCCGACAGGTGCAGCCGAAGGGAGACACGCTGATCGCGGCAAGTTACTTGTCCCGGTACGGCGACAGGTACTACGGGCAGTGGGTGCTGCTCCACGTGCCGTTCCGGTCCGTGGACGATCTCTGGCGCACAGAGCTGGACCGCGTGCCCGAACATCTTCGGTACCAGGCCTTGGCGTTCTTGCACCGCCCAGAGATGTGGCGCCAAGCGGACCGCATTCGGGAGACACTGGAGCTCGAGGCTTTCAGGGAGCACCACATTGCAAACATCATCGCTATGCTGCATGCGCACGCGGCGCTCATCGACAAGTATGTTGCAGGGGACATTTCCAAGGACGATTACGCCGTGGAGCACTACGAGCAAGGGGTCGAGGGCGACCGGGAGATCTACGCCCCCACGCCGGAGCAGGCGAACGTCACGAACACGATTGTGAACCGGGTGCGGGCCAACATGGAGGCGAAGGCGACCACGGAGGACGATTGGCGCGGAGGTGCAGAGGCTGGGGTCGGGGCCAGTGACGACGAAAACGGCGACTGGCAGCGTGGCGTGGATGAGATGAAGGCTGCTTTGAACTGGCATTAACCTGAACGCCGAGCCATTGCCGTGCTTGGCCCGGCAGGGAGTGGGAAGACGACGGACGTGGAGCACGCGGTGAACGACTGCGTCACCAACGGCGCACGAATGTTCATCGTTGCTCCCACAGGCCGGCTTGCCGCGACGTACCGCGCGAAGTATCCTGATCTGGATGTGGACACGATTCACGGTGCGTTCTTGCTGTTCAAGCCCGAGCAGCAGATGCTGGAGCTCATGATCCCCTACGACCTGGTCATCGTGGACGAGGTGGGGCAGTTGCCGCGGTGGGTGTATGAGCGGCTCATGACGCTGTGGCGGGCGGCCGAGATGTACCCGACGTTTGTGTTTCTGGGGGATTTTTTCCAATTGCCCGGGGTGGAGCAGACGTCGGCGCGGGATAGTCCACTGTGGCACAGCGCCTGCATGCAGCGCTTGAAGTTGCGGGCAATGATTCGATGCAAGTGCTTACTGCTCCGGAAGAAATTTGAGATTCTACGCGTTGCTAAACCCAGTGTGAAGCAATTGCGGTTCATCCTTCGAGGCCACAAAGCGCCGTCGGCGGAGTATTACGACGAGAGTGCGGAAGGCCCGAGTCAGGAGACGGTCTCACGGATTCTCGCGGAGACGCCGCACACGCTTTTCCTCACCGTGTCCAGGAAGGCGTGTGCCACGCTCAACGACTTTGCCGTGCAGAGTTTGTTCTCCGAGGACATGCCCGTGGCCGTTCTCCCGGCGGACCCAGAGAGCAACGTGGATAATTACGACGGCGCGAAGTTCATCGACGACAAGCCGCTGGCGACGCCCATCTTCGCTGGCATGAGAGTGGTCCTGACGAAGAACTTGAACAAGGCAGCTGGGTACGTGAACGGCATGGGCGCGGAGTTTCTCGGGATGGAGGGCGACGCCGTCTGCGTCCGGACCGATCAAGGAAGAGTGGCTTCAGTGTATCCATGGACATCAGAGAACCGCACCGTGCATTATCCTCTCAGGTTGGGATATGCGAGCACTCTGCACAAAGTGCAGGGGGCGACGCTTCAGCACATCACCCTCTGGTTAGATATAGCAGGCATGCCGGCCGCGGCGTACGTGGCTCTGTCCCGGGTCCGCCACGACGCCGATTGGCGGATCGTCGGGCACAGGACCGTCCATCATTTCACTCCGGCCAGGGGGCGGGATCCCTGCGAGGTTGTTTGCGCTCTTGTAGAGCATGTGGCAATGTGTTAGAATTCCAGTGTCAGCACAGTACCTACACAGTCGTGCTCCACGCTCTCGAGGCATTGGTGAAAAAGTGGAGGCAGAGAGGAGCCAGTTGCTGGGAGCTTCAGGAGATGAGTGATGTGTCACGAAAGCTGAATGGCCGCCGCTGCGTCGACTCATGCATCGGGGCAGAAAGCGGATGCAAACAAAGGGCGCTTATACTACTGCCTGGTAGGAGTGCGCACACGCAGGGAACCACAGCACAGGCGATGTCGCACAGGAATCCACACAGATTGCGCCACGTAGACTGCATGAAATGTCGGGGTGGTCATTGGGCACGGCCGATGCAAAGGCGACGCGCGCTGTGTCTCTACGGATGACGGATCCTTTTGTGCCCTTCCGGCCCGATGTGGAAGTGTTTCTTGAGGGGCGCTCAAAACGAAGAGTCCCGGGCTAATTCTGGCGCCCTCTGGGGCTCTCCCAGGCTCCTCTTGGTATTCCCTGGGGGCTACTTTGGAGCTTCAGGGGGTCCCCGTCGGATCTCTCGGAGCCCTCCTCGAGCCGCTTGGGATTCTCCCGGCCCGATGCGGAAGTCTTCGTTTTGAGGGGCGCTCAAAACGAACAGTCCCGGGTTAATTCTGGTGCGATTTTGGGCACTCCCAGTTTTTTCGCGGCGGGCCACTCGGGAGTTCCAGGGGGGCCCTGTCGGATCTCTCGGGGCCCCCGTCGAAGCCTGTGGCACTCTGCGGGCCCGATGTGCAAGTGTTTTTTTTAATGTGCGCTCAAAACGAACAGTCCCAATTAATTATGAGCCCTCTTGGGCTCTCCCACGAGCTTTTCTGCCGCGAGTGCGTAGCAGAAAGGCTCGTGGGAGGGCCCAAGAGCCTTCCCACGAGTTCCAGCGCGCTCCCAGCGCTCCCACTTCTCAGGCGGGGCCACTTAGGCACTCATACTCTAGCTTAGTAATTAGTTAGGCCTCGCAGTTACAAGTCCAATTGCAAGTGACTTATAAGTGATCTAACTGAAAGCTAACTGACGCAGCCGTTTTACAAAACCGTATGTCCATCGTAGGATTTTCATTGTCCGAAAACCTAACTGAAAGCTAAGTGAAACAGGCGTTTTCGCTGGAGGCATCCGTCACACGCGGTATGTTGTGAGGTCGCCGAATGCGGCCCTTCGACACGCTATATTCGCTTTGATGAATGACTGCCCTTGCCGCCCTCATTTTCCTCCGCCCCCGCCTCCTCCGCACCGTAGCCGCTTTGGGCTTATAGAAAGTTTTGAGATGGAGCCAACCACAAAAAAAAAACGTAGAATTGAGATTGGCTACCGCACGTCATTTGCAGGTGCCGCCCAGATCGTTGCTCAACTTGGCGACGGCCGCACAACTGAGGCAGCGCGCCACGAGCTACGACAAGAGTTGTTGCGCACTCTAGACGTCGTCACGCCCGTGGGGTCCATCCTGCAGAGATCAACCCTGAACCTTGCATCAGGCGAAGTATTTGTGTTGGACCACGTGCGGCCTCAGGCGCTGTTGTACACCCTGTGCGCTCAATCGGCGCACTTTGCAGCTTTTTTCAAGAGATGTCTGCAAGAATCCAATTCGGGCTCTGGGTTCTTGCTCTACACAGACGAGACGACGTGTGGAAACCAGCTCCGACCAGACTCGCGGAAGAAATGTCAGGCTATGTATTTCACGCATTCAGCTTTTCCGACATGGTTTCGGTCTCGCCAAGATGGTTGGTTCGTCTGGGCGTATGTGCCCTGTGAGATTCAGGGCGATCTCGACGGAGGACTTTCGACGCTATTCAAACTGATGTTATCTGATTTTTTCAAATCGGACCATAATTTCATGGATGGCATCATGCTTCCGTGCGGGAACGAGTGGTTCCCTCTGAAATGTGGTATCTTCGCCGTCATCCAGGACGAGAAGGCGCACAAAGAAATTGCTTCTCTCAAAGGGGCTTCGGGACTTCGACCATGCATCAGATGCAAAAATATAGTGCGGCGGACTAGCGCGCAAGATTTGGGACCATACCTGCGGGATGCCGACATTTCAGGCCCCGACGCATTCGACGAGCACACGTCTGCATCATTTTGGGAAACTGTAGATATCATATTAGCTGCACGAGACGACAGCGATCTTCTCAGACAGTCATTCGTGGATCTACAGCAGGTCGCTGGGTTGTCATACAACGCACATTCGGCCATATGGGACCGAAGTTTCAGGTTGATCTACGACCCGATCAATCACAACGTGGAGGACTGGATGCACGTATTCTGCGCTTCTGGAGGGGTTGGCCAATACGAAATCGCAAGTTTTGCTGACGCATTCACCAGCCACTCTGGGCTAAGTTTGGCAGACTTGGACGCCTTCGCGTCCAAAGTTTCGTTCCCTAGCAACTCTTCGCGTTTTCCGCCTCGTTTCTTCCAGTCCAGGATGCCTGACGAATCTGGGGGGCATTGTAAATGTTTCGCGTCAGAAACGGTCATGGCGGTGCAAGTGCTCGCACTATTCGTCCTCATGGTGGCACAACCCCATGGGAGCCTTCCACAGCATTGCCGTTCTATATTGCTGTTGAACCAGATACTCACTATTTTCTGCATGCAGGACGACGCCGTGCATCACACGGCTGTGTTGGGCTACGCGCCGGCGCAGCATCATGCGATTTACCTCCGCATATATGGCAAGAGTTTGTGCAAGCCGAAGATTCATTACGCCTACCATTGCAAGGAAGCGCTTGCCCGTATTCGCAAGAACCTTAGTTGTTTCACGATGGAGCGGAAGCACCGCGAGGCGAAGAGCGTTGCCCTCCATTGTGGTAGGTCCGACAAATGGACCAGCCACATGTTGTTTCGAACAACGGCGCAGCGATTGAGTAGAGTTGACCAGTCAGAGCTGTTCCATGCGGAACACCTCGTGGCCCCGACGGCGGCGCCGCTTCAAATTGCGTTAGCCAGGATGTTCCCAGGAGTAGGGCCTGCAACCTTCAAGGCGGCAGCGTGCCAGACTGGCCAGGGATCGTTTAAGGCAGGGGACCTCATCGTGTGCGAGAGTGCAGGCCGCCGCGCCTTTGGAGTGTGCGATTACTTCGGTGGCGGGTCTCTCAAAGATTCTGGTCGGGCAGTGCACGCCGTTTGTTTTCAAACATGTGAAGAAATGCCGAATGGTGCCCTGGAGAAGCGCAAGTCTTGGGCGTGGGCCCCAGTCGAGGCCGTGCGCTCCGCGGTCCCATTCGTGGACCTACAGCCAGGCATGCGGCCGTTGTTGCCTGCCTTGCAGCGGATATGACCTAACATTGGCGGTCGGTTTCGAAGCGATCTCGGAAATCGGGCTGGTTCGCGCTCCCCCGCGCGGTGGTTCACCAAATGTGCCCCATTCCAACCCCCACCCCATTCAGAAGAACACGCGTTCAATGCATTTGTGTTTCCAGAATTGTGCGTTCGCCTAGCGGCGATCATCTCGAAACCATCCGCCAACCAGCATGCCGTTCGGAGGCTCGCCCCGACGTCGGCAACCAGCCTGTCTCATATGTTGGCGGCTAACGTTCCGCGTTGCTTCAAAAAGCAAGCTGCGCCCATGCAAAGAAACGTCCCTCCTCCTCCTCATCATCCCCCTCCCCATGCCTCCATGACCCTGGGTGCCACATCCAATACCTCCTCCCCGTCAACATCCCTCCCCCCGAGCACATCCGCCCTGCCATCCGTCATCTCAACATCATTTTTGCGTACACGTAGCCACTTTGCTCAAGTGCAATGTGGCGTCAATTGCCACCGCCGCCCACGGAAACCCGACTCGGACCAGCGCCCGTGCCAGCAGGCACCCTGTCCGCCAATGACACGACGGCCATCAAGGCGCTCACTGGTTGTAAAGCCAGCGTCCGCGGCCGCAACAAGGGCCCATGGGGAGAAGGGCGCACGCTCACCGTTCACGGTCCGCCCGACATGTTGAATCGCGCGTGGGAACTGGCTATCGAGCGCATCACTGAGAACGGACAGAACGGCGCCAGGAGGACCAGGGAAAAACAGAGGCGGCAGCAAGAACAAGACCGACAGCGTCAACACCAGCTGCGGCAACAACAGCAGCAGCAACAGCAACAACCTGCAAGAGATCCACCAGGGCTCCGCGCAGCTCCAGCACGGCCAGATCCTCTGGCGCGCTGGATCCCATCTGCAAGGTCAAGTTCGACTTCGACGACGTCATGGCGCCGCGAAGCTGTGGCCGAACCGCGCCAGCCGTCAGTGTACGAGCCGATGTTCGTGGAGGCGGCGTTCGCGCGGCCGATCGCCGAGACGCAGCGCCAGGAGGCTGCCGCGCCAGAAGCAGCGCCAGTGCGCGAGGAGCAGCGCCAGGAAGCTGCAGCGCCCCGCGATGCCCGCGCCGTGCTAGCCGCTGCGGGCTGCAGGCCAGAGGATGCCTGGATGCTAGAAGACTCACCTCCGTACCCGTCGCCAGCTGAGGAGGTGACGCCTCCTCGGACCCCGTGCTCTCCCTTGACCCCGTCGTCACACTGGTTGGAAGACCTCTGAGGTAAATTTCAATTGCAAGACTCTGCTCCAGTGGCATATACACGCTAGCGTGCAGCCTAAAACAGAAGGCTCGCCTAGGTCGGAGGCTCGCCCCGACGAATTCGCACACCTCACATCATCACATTGGCAATTGAGTTTGGCATCAGAGGAGCCAGGAGAGACAGCATCATCATCATAGCTAGCAGAATCAGCATGAGCAGAGCCGACAGCATCAGCGTCAGCAGAACCATCGGATTTGATACCAGCAGAGGCAGCGTCAGCAGGAGCAGTAGGAACAGAAAGCAGAGGACATGATACTTAACGAGCCTGCAGCGGCACCGATAGCAGTGGAGGGTGAGGATGCTGGAAAGCGCAGTAGAGGAAGATAGGTAGGGGGATGAGGAAGGTGCTGGGGCGAGTTG